TATATNTATATATATATTATATNTATATATATATATATATTATATATATATATATATATATATATATATAAATATGTGTATCCGTATTGTATCGTATTGTGTCGTATTTTAGTGTGGGCATTCAAGAGACTGCCCTGATCACTTCCTTGTGTGAATTGGTTATCCGCTGTAGTTTTTCCACACACCCATTCCTCAGTCGGCGTAGCACTACACACTCCCACTCGCAAGCCCGTGCTATTCTCGTATGCTAGACCTGGCCTTCCATTGTATCTCCGTACAGGGCCAAAGACAGCATTGAGGTCATGTCGCTGGCAATAGTCACTCACACGTCCAGAAATTCATAGCTGACCTCATACGCTACCAAACATTCATTTACCCACACGGTATCCGTATGCGAATACTTTGCCATGAACTCCTATACGCCGTTGAGTATGCTCATACCCTGTTGATACGCTACAAAATAAGCTCACAGTCGGAAGAGAGAGCGTAAGGTGATTTCACGATTCTACAAAGTAATATTTATACATACTGTAATCTTCTGCAGAGTCTTTGACCGAACCGGTGCCACATCATTGGCGGACAACTACGAGTATGTCATGTATGGCGTCGTATATAAAGTGGATGAGGAAAGGGACAAGCGGTCCATCTTTGCGTCCTTCGGAGGCTTACTGATGCTCCTGCAGGGCGATCGCAGCAATTTAGCGGTACTATTCAATGTGCCTCGTGAGAAATGTTGAGTAGTAATTTGAGCACTGCTCGAGTCTTTGTGTGTTTTCCCGTGTGGGATAGTGTGGATAGATGTAACTACACACTCTGCATGTTTCATATCAGTAGTGCTGTCCCCATTTATTCGCAAGAGGCAATGTTAGCTAGTAGGTACGGTCTTTGTATTGCGTGGACTGTTTATTCCCACTACTGTGCCCGAAGGTATCCGTTGTGGTACTGATGATTCGGTTTGGTGAAGTTTGGGTTTCTACCGATGCCGTGAATGGATGCTGCATGCGCGAGGGCTTATGAGGACCTCATTAGATTCCACTGAATACTATCTGACATTGCATACGTTTTTATCAGTGTTTGTTGCGCTTTCTTCTTCATCAAAGTGAACTGTTTTCCTCAAATGAGCTTTGCTTGCTCCTCACGAGTTGGTTGCGCAATCTGGTGGCAATACACCAGCCTTAGACGTGATGGTGTCATGTACTTTCACGCATTCGCTAGCAGGCGATGATTATGTCTATGTGCAGGACGTACCCACATACAACATCTGACTCGATACATGGATCACCAGGATTCATATATATATATATATATATATCTATATACGATGTGTATAACTATATATATATGTATATACATATACATATATATATATATATATCTATATACATATATAATATATATATATATGTATATACATATATATATATATATATATATATATGTATTTACAAATATATATATTTAAATTTATATTAATATATATACATGTTATATATACACATATATATATATATATAATTATATTTATATTTATACATGTATATATTCTTATTTGTATACTTATATATAGATATATAAATTCTATTTTTCTTATTCTATGTCTACATATTGTATCCATAACTATGTA